AAGGTTACCAGTTCAGAAGCAAAGCTCGCGAAGAAGAAGGAAGGCGGTGCCGAGGAGGTTTACCCGCGCAATAGCAAACCAAGATTTTCGAATTATATCTTGGGGCCGTGTTCGGGAGGTTTCGTTTGCAAGTCTTTGTTTGCCTGAAGGCTACCGGTTCAACAGTGCTGCAAGCGGTGTGGAACCTTCCGGAGTCGGAGCAGCGGCAACTGTTAGTTGAGCTCCTAGAGAAGTTCTCCTTCAGTCCAGAAGCAAAGCTCGCGAAGAAGAACGATGACTGTGCCGGGGAGGTTTACATACGCAATAGCAAACCAAGATTTTCGAACTATGTCTTGGGGTCGTGTTCGAGAGGTTTTGCAAGTCTTCGTTTGCCTGAAGGCTACTGGTTCAAAAGCGAAGGCTTCCATTCCAGAAGCAGAGCTCGCGAAGAAGAACGAAAACAGTGCCGAGGAGGTTTACACACGCAGTAAGAAAACATGGTTTTCGAACTATGTCTTGGGGTTGTGGTGACAGGAGAATCCTTTCGATGAGTTCCCTGCAAGCTCACCCGTGGCATCAAGCAAGGAGCAACTTAGCAACGGGCACTGCGGAAACTCACAATCAGAAGCTGATTCCCTTTTCTGCGACTTCACGGGGAATGCAGGACCTCGCGAAGAGCACGGCTTCTGGTGCCAACACCACTCAAGCTGAGCAACCGCAAGAGAAGGACGTTTTGGGCACTGTTGGGTTCAGGCTTCGGTTTCGGCTTGAGTGTTTCAGACTTGGCATCTGGAGTCTCAGTGTTGCAGAGGTATAGTTTCGACTTGGATGCAACGTTGCAAAAGGAGGGCACTGCTGGTCCGTGCGTTGGGGATGACGAGAACCTGGAGCCCAAGAGTGCCCAGGAAAAGGTGCAAGCGTGAACCCTAAACCGTCAACCCTACTTAGAGGCCCTTTTGACTTAGTAAGTCTACTTAGCATCCCTTAGAAATCCTCTTAGAAGCTCCTAACCCACCTTGCTAACCCTACTTACTGAGTCAAAAGGGCTTCCAAGTAAACCCTAAACATCGCAGGTCTGCACGCCAGAAAAGCGGAAACAGACAGCCGATCCTGATTACCTTTGGACTCCAGCTGACAAACCTGCTCGAACACACCTGTTTCGGAGTGGCAACGTCTCTGGTTGCAAGTACGAGGTCTTCCAGAGTTGCAAGGTGTGTGACCTCGAGAAGTGTCCGAAGTACAAGTACGTCAAGACCAAAGGTCATCACGGTGCGGTTTGCTGGTTCTGTTGGGGTCGCCTCTTTGCGGCACTGTGAAGGCTGTTTGCTTGCATGTCCGTTGTGGTATGTCGTATTTTTCCAGCAGTGCTTTGCAGGCATGACTTTTCACGGCCGAAAGCATCTCGGGCTGAAGAACGCAGGGCGGCTGGAGGACTTTAGCCCCGAGCAAGTCAAAGCCATCATTGCCGAGTCCAAGCAGCTTCGTGAAAAGCACGATGCAAAAGGGATCTCAGCAGACAAGCCTGCGCCATCTGCGATCCCTTTTTCATAAAAGGACCGCGAGCTTGAAGCGAGCATTTTCAAACTTGGTTTCAAAAACTTGGCATGGCTTGTTTTTGCACGTGACAATTTTTGCATTGACTTCAGCGCATCGCCTCTTTTGGTCTTGATGACACAACCTTGGCATGCGGCAGCTCAGTGCTCGAGCTGAGTTGTGAAAGAATTTTCTGTGTGGGCTCTCTAGAGGCTTGTACTTCTGTCTAACAGGCCCGTGCCCTCCGTATTTCGGTGTTGCTCTTAGAGCTCCGTGCAAGAGCCCCGCAGGGGCTTGGATGGACCCTGGCGCGACCTTTGAGGCCGCGTCGTCCTCGGGCGACACTCAGGAGGCCATTTCGGCCCACTTACACGAAGTCCAGCTTGCGGTTACTTCTCTAGAACAGCAGGTTGCTTCGCTGCGTTCAGAGCTTCAGGAAGTGCGCCAACAGACTGTTAATCTTGAGGCCGAAAGGTACCAGCACTCCCTTCGCTTAGGCTGGTTGGAGCAACTAGTGCAGCGAATCGCCCGTGCTTTCCGCTTTGAGTGACCTGCTTCATTCTGCCTCCTGCTCCATGCCCCCTGCATCTTCTGAAGGTGGGGTTTCTGAGGCAGGTGACAGTCGCCGGAGGGATGCCGCCATGGCCTTTGGGTCGTACGAGGCACATTTGGCGTCTTGCATGCGCAAGTTCAATAAGACTGGGTTTGTCCGATCCTGGGATTTTAAACTTAAGCCTTCTGCCAATTTGTTTGCCGGTATGGCACGTGCCAGCGGGCCCATGCCGCCTGTCATGTCTGTGCCAGTGCCCAAGATGGTGTCTTCACAGGTTACCGTTGCTTCTGTTGTCAAGCTTGCCCTGGGCAGGGTCAGGCTGCAGGATTCTTGGAGTGTGCACCTTGACAAGAAGCTGCGTGCTGCCATTCAGAAGTGGGTGTCTATCGTCCTTGAGGATCCACTCACCTTTGATGTTGGCCGCAGGTGTGCTGCCGCGTCCTGCCAGGACTCCGCAGTCTCGCAAGGTTTGCTGCACACCTTTTCGGGCAAAGCTGCGGGTACACTGCACAATCGTGCGGGACCGTTGCTCCGTTTTGTGGCGTGGGCCAAGAAGCGGCGTCTCCAGCCGCTGCCACTGAGAGAGAAAGATGTGTATGAGTTCCTGCTTGATTTGGAGGATTCCAGCGCGCCGTCTTTCGGCAAGGCACTCATGTCCTCGTTGGCGTTTTGCAAGTTCGTTTTGGGTGCTGAGTCTTTCTCTGACTCCCTTTGCAGTGGCCGCCTTACAGGGCTTGCGCGTGCCTCTTTTCTTAAAAAGAGGAAGAGGCGACAGAAGCCGCCACTCACCGTTGCTATGGTCAAGAGATTGGAGCGCCTTGTTGTGGATGAGTCAGATAATGATGTTGACAGGCTGTGTGCAGGCTTTTTCTTACTCTGCATTTATCTTCGTGCTAGATACAGCGATGGCCAGGCTTTGATGAATCTGGTTTTGGATGAGCCGGACTCTTTCATGGGACCACTTGCAGGGTACTTCCAAGGTGAGACTTCAAGGACGAAGACCAGTTTCTCCTTGGAGAGGAAAACAGCATTGCTTCCTATGGTGGGGCCATTGTGCGGGGTGGCGTCCGTGCCTTGGTTCAGGACGTGGATGAGCCTTCGTGAGGACCTCGCCATTCCCGAAGGGGAAGCCACCTTCGCAGCCGGCCTGCGTACGGTATTATTTTACGGAAATGGTTTTTGGATTTTGTAGCTTCGCTTCAAAATCCTGCTCGATTTAAGTTTTACCTTGCCACTTGAAAGCATCACACATGATTGTTTGAAGCAAGTCGATGTGATGCCGCAAGGTTCGTGCTCTGAGGTAGGGCACGCGATTTTCAAAACTGTTGAGCCTGGAGTCCACAGAGGTTCGGAACAGGTCTCCACTGACGTTGCTCTTAGAGCACAGTGCACGCCAGCCTCGTCGGCTGGTAGATGGACGTTGGCCAGGCCGAGGCAGCCCTTCGTGCCTTGGGGCAACTTCAGAGGGAAGTGCTGCGGTGTCGGTCCAGTATCTTGTGCTTCAGCTCTGCCGGCTCTTTCCTGCTGAGCGTTTGCAGCCTCTTGACGAGGCTTAAGTACTGGGCCTGAATGTCCGGCTCTTCCGCTTCATCCGGCGCAGGGGGTGTGGGTTCAGCTGCTGAGCCGGACTTGTCGCGCTTAGAAGAAACAATCCGCGAAGCTATTTTCTCTTCTAGTGAACCTCAGGTTTTGAAACTGCCTTGGGAGATGCCAGGGTTGGATATGATTTTCGGGAAAGGTGCTTTGGAACAGATGTTGCCTTCGGAGCCTCCAAAAATCGAATTTCCTGCGCCTTCGACGGCTGAGGCGTCGATTGAAGAGCAAGCCCGTGCGGCTAAGAAAGTCAAAGTAGCTACTTTCGGCAGACCTTGTTTCGTAGGCTGTGTTAACTTCAAGAATCAAGCGTCAGATGCCGAGCTTGAAGCGGCTGCATGGCAAAGGTCCCTTGAAAAGTGGCATTTCTTGTTGACTCTTGATTCCTCTGTCTCCTTGGTCGGTTCGTCTCTTGCCGGGATGAGCCAGGCAGAAGGTATGCAGGCACTGCGAGAACTCTTTGGAAGGAAGAAAGAAGCAACGGTGAAGAAGCGTGCTGCTTCAATGCTCAAGTATGCAAAGTACTTGCAGGAGCACAGGCCCTTTGCCTCGCCCTTTCCTTTCAGTACCGAGAAGTCTGACGAGTATATAAGGCACTTGCGGTCTATCAAGGCAAAGGCTGGCACGATTGATTCCTTCACGGAGGCAGTAAGGTTCTCCATTCATGTGGTTGGCATTAGTTGTGCAGGAGAAGCATCCAAGCTCTTCAGCCCGTGGTCTATTGGACTCAGGGGCCTCATGCAATCGCAGAAGCCGGAGCGTGTTTCAGCCCTGGGCTTGACTGTGGACCAGGTAGCTTTTCTTGAATTTTGCCTTGATGATGCTGAATTGGACCTGCAGGACCGATATGCAAGCGGGGCTTTCTTGTTTTGCACTTTCAGCAGAAGCCGCATCAGTGATGTAAAGAAGGTTCGCAACTTCATCATTGATACTGTCGTTGCAGGGTCCGATGTTCAGGGATACCTTGAGTGCGCCACCAGGGCACATAAGACATCCAACCAGGCGGCAGTGCAAGGAGTGTCAATGCCTCTAGTGGCTCCCATATGCGGTGTGCGGCATGAGCCTTGGGGGCCGAAATTCGTGGCAGTCGCCGAGGCTGCAGGCTTGCCGTTGAGTCCTGACATGGACCGTTGCTGCCAGCCCCTCTTGAGGCAGGCGGCTGGAGTGAGCGAGCAGTAACGACTGACGAGGCCGGTGGCTGGCTTCGGGCTTTGCTTAGCCGAGGGAATAAGTGCACTGATGGTGTGACCGGTCATTCACTCAAAACGACCACGCTTGATTGGTGCGGTAAGTTTGGTGTCAATGAAACTGCCCAGACACTGCTGGGCCATCATGCGCTCAAAGGTTCTGCCATGTATGCATACATGCGAGACAAGCTTGCTGCTCCCTTAAGAATCTATGAACGTATGCTCAGAGCAATCAGAGACAGCTTGTTCATTCCTGACGCCACAAGATCGGGTCTTATCAGGAAGGACCCCCTTCCTGCAGAAAGCTCCTTGGGCGAGCCGAACAGTGACCAGTCGTGGCAGCATGTTGAGCCCATGCAACCTGGAATTGGTGAGCCTGGAATCTTTGGAGTGTTGGAGTCTGAAGGGGAAGACAAGCACTACCGTGCGGCGGCGCTGACTCCTGAGGAAGCGGCTGAATCAGTCCTCGATGATGCCTTTCAGGACGACGGCCCGGAGCCCTCGCAGGCAGGTGACGGTGAGGAGCATTCGTCATCGTCCTCATCTAGTGAGTCCGAAAGTTCTGAAGACCCAGAAGGCTCTGACTGGGTAGACAATTTGAAAGACACGTTTGACTGTACAGTTGAGAAGTCCAATCTTGCTGAGCTTGATTTTGTGTATTGGAGACATGATAAAACAATGACCATTCATACGGTTGCTGTTGGTTCTACGGGTGAGACGTTCACCTGTGGGCGGAAGCGAACGCCTGACTATTCCAGGATCACGCGAAGTGCCTTCGCAGAAACTCGGCTATGCACAAACTGCAAAAAGAGCCGACCTCTGCGTGATGTGGGGGCTCTGAACGCAGCTTTGGCTAAAAGCTTGAAGCGCTGATTTCTATGCCACGGTCCGAGGTGGGACTAAGCAGGTAGTTCCACGAAGAGTGGTTGCCGGGATGTTCCGGCCACGCCTGCAAGTTTCAAGTTGCGAGGTGCAGCTTGAGCGGTGGTTCTATTTTCGACCAGAGAGCATGCTGGGAGGTTCCGGCTACGCCTGCGAGTCTCGGGTTGCGAGGTGCAACTTGAGCGGTTTTGAGCGGCCTGCGAAGGGGCGTGAACAATGTACAAGTGCTGCGTCCTGCCGTGGGCAAGTGCTTCATGGGTGATTTGGTGAGCGAAGTGCTTCTTGTGATAAGGTTTTCTCTCGAGCCCGCTTTGTATCAGGTTGAACTAGCCATGGCTGGCGTCCCTGCTGCGACCTCTTTCACTGAGTCGAAGCCGGCTTTTGTAAAAAGGGCCTTAGAAGTGGGGTTGGCCCAGCCAGAGGTTGACCACTTGGTCGCGAAGCATGTGGATACGCTATCCAAGCTCGCGTTTGTGCTAGTCCCTCCTGGAAAGGTGCCGGAGGATGACGCTGTCACAGCCCTGCTCCCAGCCGGGACCAGTCAAGGGGCTATTGCAGGCCTAAAACGACTCCTCTTCGAAGCTCATACCTTGATTGTTTCTGCTCTTAAGCAAAGGGTGGAGCGAACGGATGACAGTCTGCCAGCATCTCTGGATGTCGCCGAGCGTGAAGACAGGCTGACTAGCCAAAAAGCCCGTCTCGGGGGATTGACCTTTCAGGCCGAAGAGGAGGTTGCCCATGGGGCGTACGACATTGTCTTCGCCATGGCCCAGAAAAACGAGCTGGTGTGGCTGGCTCCCGAAAAGTTCGGAACCCGTCGAGCGGAGATCAGCTCTACGAAGAATCAGAAAGAGCTTGTCATTGACGGCACAGGTGTTGCCGTCAAGGAAAAGGTTCAATCCATTCAATGCGCAATCAACAGCGATCTTGACCTGGTGTTAGCCCTCAGGCGCAGAGCCTTGGCCTTTGATCTCGTTGGCATTTTGACGTTTGATGTTGCCAATCGGTACCATCAAGCACTGGTACAGCGGCTTCGGGAATCTCCGCCTCCTGACTATGCAAAAGTCTCCCTCGCCCAGGTTATCCGAGCTGACCGTGCCGCCTTCTTAAAGATGGCAGAGACTTTGACAACACTTCGCAGGAGTGGCAGTGGTGTTTTGCCGCTTGATTCGATGCTGCCAAACATTTTGCTAGACCCAAGCGTTGCTTATCATCTGTTGCCTTTGCATGCAGGTAGCTCGTCCAGTGGCAGTAAGGCCGATAATCATACGACTGGCACGCCGCCGCCACCCAAGCGGCCATTCGCTCCGAATCCGCGTCAGCCCAAACGGCCGACCAAGCGCACAAACTTTTCTGTGCCAAAAGAGTTGATTGGCAAGACCCACCAGACTCCTAAGGGTCATCGCTTGTGTTGGGGTTTCAACTTGCCGTGCGGTTGCCAGGATGCCAAGCCCGGAGGTAAGTGTGCAAAGGGCCTCCACCTGTGTGCTGAGCCGGGCTGTCTCAAGCCCCATAGCATGCAGAATCACTCGTGACTGCTGTCACCCAGCGTAGGCTGCAAAACTTCTGCCGCCGCGGACAGGTCCGCCCTTGATGAGGCCCATCTCCATAAGTTAGAGGGCCTCTCACTTGAGGAGGTAGTGGTTGTGGAAGTGTTTTGCGGGAGCGGGAGACTTAGTTCTTCTATGAAGCGTGAGGGTTTCGACGCATTTGGCGTTGACCATATCGTCTCAAAGACTGCATGTTGTTCTGTTCTGAAGCTTGATCTTACATGTCCTGATGCCGTACAGCACCTCTGGAGCATCCTCAAAGATCCTGCTGTCAAATTCGTTCATTTTGCCCCTCCTTGCGGTACCGCAAGCAGAGCCCGTGACATAAGGTTTGAAGGTATGCCTTTGAGACTTTCTTACGTTTGTAGGGAAACTGGCTGAGGTAGCCAGGCCGCCCGCGTCGACACACATCATTATGCAGCTTACAGAACACCAAGACTTTGAGATGATGCCGGTGCGGGGAGAGCTCATTCAGAACTCTAGCATACTGGCGGAACCACGAAAAGACCTGCTCCGCTGCTGAAGTGTTTACACTAGCAAAGCGACGGTTCAGGCGACGGACATGATGGGGGTTGCAAGGGCATTGGTCACTGTGTTTGGCCCCGTGGAAATAGTCGACACACCAATAGCCCACCTGCGCAAACTTCCTGGTGCGCTTTGCGTGAGGAAGGAAGGCACAAGCCTTGTCCATGACGACGCCGTCGAGGAGCGGATACTTGGGGAGGAGGCGTGTGAGGATGCCATCCATCACTTCATTGCCCTCCGGCTGGTGAAGGCAGGAAACCCCGAGGACTCGTAAGGTGCGAGGATCGACGGCCATGAACCAGCCGTAGCCATAGGGCTTCCGCTTGCCGTTCGCCCGAGGCTTTCCGGGGTGCTTCTTGTCCAAGGCCCCGCATTTCACATGCACTTTAGCATGGCCGTCGCACACAATCTCCGTGACCTTCTGCTTGTTAGACGGAGGGAGCGCATGGTTGTGCACGTAGCGATCGTAGGCTTCAACCGATTGACTGGTGGCCTCGTTACCAATGGCAAAAGTCATGGGGATCGATGCGGCCGGATACTCAGTCAGAGCGATGAAGTACATGATTGCGGACCCATGGACATCTCTGAAGTGACCCCCTCCACTGCAGTGCTCGATGTCGTATACCCTGCTATACACATCGAGCGCTGCTCGAGCTGAAGCGAAAGCCCGGAACTCCAAGAGCATGTGGTAGCGAAGGTAATTCACCGTGAAGCCAATCTTGGGACTGATAAATATGGCTTCCCCTGCAACATCTACATCTGGTAGGGTGTTGATCTTTTCACTTTGCTCGATGTAGAAATTGGGACGATACGTTCTTCTGCAGGAGTACGAGGTACAGCGGACGGTAACAACCGAGACCTTCTCGGGACCGGACATCCCGTAGAGGGTGGCGTCGACTTTGTGAGCTTCTGCAAGGTTTCCTTTGCACAAACATCTGAAGAGATGGGAGCGGAAGATCCTTGAAGTACTCTGGGCGGCAGGACGCTTCATGCTGACTACCGACTACCGACTACCGACTACTGCAGCGATGGCGAGCTACTTGGAGAGCGTGGCTGAGGGTAGAAGAAGCAACAGTGCATGCGAGGCATTGCACAATGACAATGGTTCAGAACATCAAAGGCCTCAAAGGAATGGCGACTAATGCATGTTTCGGCGGGCGATGTTTTCCTACTGGCTTCAGTGACCTGCAGTGATGCAGGCATCATAGCAAAGTCAAAATCTGAGCTTGGCCTCGCTCAGAATCTGAGGTGCCTAGGTCCTAGGTTCACTCATCCTCCGGGGCTTCACCAACACGAGGCAGGCCATCGTCATCTTCAGACGCAGACCCATCGCCGTGAACCCTTCGCCGCTGTGCCTGAGCAGGCCTGGGGCTGGGGGTGTCCAGATCGATCGGAGCACTACCGGAAGCAGTGGACAGAGATGCGAAGACGCCTGGCTCCTTCTTGACGGGTACCGGAGTCCACGGTGCTGGGGCAGGCTTCGTTGGCCGAGACGCATCAGCAGGTGCAACCAGGTCTGTGCTCTCCAAGTCCACAACAACCCGACCAGAGAAGGGGAGGTCGGGCTTCCTTTCGACGCGGCGCTTGGTTTTGTCAAACATGCCCTGCTCGATGATGACTGTTGTTCGCTCCGGAGAACGGCCCTTTTCGAGAACCAAGGAGACGAAGTCATGCGACCACTGTCTCTTCTCCAGCCAATCAGATGGTGGGCTCTTGTCACCATTCTTCATACGATCTAGGAGTGCCTTGCCTGAGTCGGCAATGAAATCCTTGATGCCGCCTTCGTACTGGATGAGTGGCACTGGATTGGTGCTCGTGCCAGCCTTGCGAACGTAGCAGGCACGATTGGTGTTCACCACCCAATGCGAGCGCTTCAACAAAGCCATTTTATCCTGGGTGGAGGACTTCTCGGGGAAGGCTGGAGCAATGATGTCCAGGAAGACTTCATGGGGAATGGTGGCCTGGCCAGGCGAGATCCATTTGTCGGCGTCCTCATCGATCTTGTTGTCGCAGAGGATGCGAAGTTGGTTGCGGACGAACTTGGAAGTGGTCCAGCGTTCCACCGTGAAGGACTCCTCCAAGGAAGCATCGAGAAAGGCCTTGAGCTTGGGCATGGGAACCACGTTCATGTCGGGATCGTCCAGAATGTCTGGAACATGTTTCTTTCCAGGCTCCCCACGCAGCTGATCCAAGCTGGAGCAAAGACGAAAGGAAGGCTTGACATCCCAAGCCATGTCGTCGACTAAGATCCAGTATTCGGAGATGGCGAGTGCGAGCGCTTGGGCTGCGGGGGTTTTGCCCTTCTCCGCAAGCCCCATCATGACCAAGGTCTCGGATTTCATGGTGGGCAGAAGAGGAACAAGAACATCGTGAAGGAACCAGCCTTGGAGGTCATACAGAGTGACGAAGAAGTTGCTGGTACAGTCGGCGAAGACATTGGAGTTGGCATAGCCGCGAAGCGACTCCTTGACTAAGCCCGCTGACCAACCGAAGATGGGACTGCCTTCTTTGTGAATTTCGACCTCAGTCCACTCTGTCTGCCGATTGTGCATGTTGGACCGAGGTCCACTAGAGCGGATGAAGTCGAAGCCTTTCTGCAGATCCGATGTTTCTTTCGTCTTGGTCTTGGGCTCCTTCATCTGAGTCAGGAACCACATAACGCTCCATTGGCCAACATGTTCCAAAAGATACTGGAAGCCCTTGAGACCGCTGCGGAAGTTGGTGCCGTAGTTGATGAGGTGGAGGTCCCCTGCGAGAGATGTCTTCAGAAGCCGAGCGGGTATCTTGTCTTCAAAGATGAAGTGCTTCAAGAAAACCCACCGACCATCCGAAGACTGCTGGCCCACAAGCTGCATTTTGAATTTCATGCCGTTACCAAAGCTCACAGACAAGGGGCCGGGAAGGTCCTCATACTTCCCGGTGGAGATGAGGTGATAAAGGTGTCCGAAATCAAAATCCCCCGCGGACATCGGTTCGACAACCTCAACCACGGACTTTAACGAAGAGGAATGTGTGGCTGATTTGAGCGGTAGTAGGTCAAAGCTGCCAAGCTCCGAGGTTCGTGAATGGATCACCGGGGCGTCCAGTGTGCGAAAGTCCAATGGAGCCGCAAGCAAGCATGCCTGAGCGAAGTCGGCCGGGGGCTTGGTGGACGACATGGACATGGCAGGCGGGTGAGAGGACTGCGAGAAGTGGCACGATGAACTTGACCCTAGCTACCGAAAGGTATGTATATGTTCGGCACGACAAACGCTTTAATCACTTGTTAGTAACACGCGCACATCCTGCACACGAGCCCTTTTGCTCCGGCTCCGTGACAGCTTGGTCTCAGACCATGTACAAGGGAAGACGGCTACAGGTACATTGCAGACTGTTCTACGGTCTGTTACACCCCAGTGCCTGATTAGCCCAGAAGAGATCCTGCGAAGTCTCTTTCAGATCGGCTTTCAACTGGGAGTTCATAGCCTCCAGCTTTTTCACCCGTGCACGCAAGCCGCTCTTGGTCTTAGGCATGGATGAGTCTGACCCGGACGAACGGGAGGAAGACGAAGATCCCGAAGAGGACGAAGAGGAAGTGCCGTCGTCGTTCGTGTTGTTGTTCTTGTCCACGGTCGCCGAAGTGCTGGTGTTCGGGGTCTCCTCGATGGCCAAATTCTTGGTGTCTGGGGTGTCTGCGATAGCCAATGCTGAGGTGGTTGGCGTGTCGGTGATGGCCAATGTCCTCTCAACGGCCTTCTGTCTGAAGCCCTTCTTGGGTGAGCTCAACCACGAACGCAAAGCGGCTTCGGCCATTGGGTTCCATTGGCCTTTGATCCCCACCTGAAGGCTGTGCCGATTTTGAAGATAGCAGAGATGCGAGAAGATCTTCCGTCCAGTGAGGTCGCGCTTGCTCTCGTGCGTGGCGTAGGTGCCGTCCTGGATCTTGGTCAAAACGTCCGCAATGGAAGGTGGTCCTTGCGAGCACGATGAGGAAGGAGGCGATGCGGAAGGAGGCGAGCCGAAAGGAGGCGAGGAGGCTGCGGAGGAAGGCCGAATGGACAGGTTCTCGAGCTGGAGGCTGATGATGCCATTTTCGATGTTAGCGATGCCAGCAACGTGGGCAGAGCGCTTCATGTTCAGGCTAGGCTAGGCGTAACTAAACAAGCTACGTGCGGATGCTACAGCCACATGCCTTCGAATACAAGTTGTAGCTCAAGGTCCTGTGCTACGCAGTCCGTCGTCAGAAAGTCGAGTCGCAGACCGCAAGAAAAAGTTTCAAGGAAAAAACACCAAGTGCAGCCGAGGTGCATAGGAAGAAAAGGCCATACCAATAACAGAACATAGAATAGCTAGGGAATGCTTATAAGCAGAGGCATTGCTTATAAGCACCCGGAATGCTTATAAGCACCCGGAATGCTTATAAGCAGAAGCCCTGCTTATAAGCAACCGGTTTGTTTATAAACACAACATAAGATACACTA